CAAAAGATAAATGGCTCTTCTGTGAAATTTTGGATATTTGTTGTTAATTTTTACTACAGGGAGTTTTAAATGTTTAGATCTGTGGTTCTTGGCCTCAACTGCGCATTAGCACCACCCGGAGAGCTCTTAATGAAATAGAATTCTTTGGGCTCAGAGCCCAGACCAATTAATCACAACCCCTAGGGAAAGTGGGGCTTAGACACTGGTGTATTTAAACCACCCTCTGGGAGATTCACACATGAATACAGGATGCCGACCCCTTTCTTTAGCTTATAATAATGAGATCTTCTGGTCACTAGGGCCTCCTACCTTAGTGTATCAGAGGACTGGTTGTCATTCATCTGGTTCCTGATTTCTGTGGATTTGGAAGGTTGACATCCTCCGATAGAGTTTAGCTGAGCTTGTGATGTTCTGCTTCTGTATCTTAGGTTGAATTTTTCATGAGCATAACGGCAATTCTCCCCACTTCACCCATATATAGCTCTTCAAAAAGGTGAATTTTCTCCCAGAGAGTGATACTGGATAGTTCTGCCCGCTGGAGACTTGGGGGATATATAGATATAACAGATCTGTATGGAATTGCTCACAAGGTCAGACATCCCAAGGAGGTGAAATAGAGGCTGAGGCTCCTCTCTGCTAAGTGAACTGGAACCTGCTCACCACATACTGTTGCCAGCAGTGCTAGGGAATAGATAACTGCATAAATAAGTAACAACTTGGTCTTGTGGTCAGTGTACCTGGACCTGAACTATGTTAGTCAGTTGTGGTTGGGACAGTTAACTTAAAAGGAGAAATGGTTTTGGAGGTCTCAGTTCACCATTACTTGGCTTTTTGCTTTTTTGGGGGGTAGAACGGGACAGAAAGTGGTGGGAACCATGTAGTGTCGCATGGCAGAGACAGGTACTCACCTTGTGGCAGTGGAGAAGCACCCAGACAGGAGGGAGCCCTTTTGAGGACACGCCTGCTGCAGGGAATAGGGTCCTCCAGCTTCTAGAACGTCTAGTACAATCAGCTGCTGAGCAAGGTTTAGATACACGGCTTAGGGGGACACAACAAAACCACAGTACGAAGTAGCAGCCACTCTGTCCTTGCTACTTATATACCCAGCTACTCACCCGTCCTGTGCAGCGGGTTTCTACAAAGCTATGCATTTTCTTCTGTCAGAATGTATTTTATCAGTGGTGATAAAGTAGACTTAAACAGTCACTTTATGTGGCACTGGAGGATAAGGAACTGGAATTAGCCACTAGAAAGTCCCAGTGCCAGGGAAGAGAGGCTCGCAGGATCTAATGAGGATGACTTGAGCTGAAGTCCGCAGTGAACGGGAGATAGATCCTGTAGAGACCACCTCCAGTAGAAAGGCATGGCCCTGAGTTGAGGTATGGGGCCACACTCCCATCTCAAAATTTTTAATCCAGAAATATTACTGTCCGAAAGAAAGGGACAAAAATAGAACAGAGACTGAAGAAAGGCCATCCAGAGACTGCCCCACCTAGGGATCCATCCATATGGATTTGAGATCTGCAAACACCAAACCCCTGCACTATTGCTGTTGTCAAGAGTCACTTGCTGACAGAAACCTGGTATGGCTGTTCCCTGAGAGGTTCTACCAGCACCTGACCAATAGAGATGCAGATAGATACTCACAGCCAACCATCAGACTGAGCCTGGGGACTCCAATGAAAGAGTTAGAGGAAGGACTGAAGTTGCTGAAGGGGATTGCAACCCCATGGGAAGAACAATATCAACTAACTGGACCACCCAGAGCTCCCAGAGACTAACCCACCAACCAAAGAGCATACATGGAGGGATCCATGGCTCTAGATACATATGTAGCAGAGGATGGCCTTGTCTGACATCAATGGGAAGGGAGGCCCTTGGTCCTGTGGAGATTTGATGCCCTTAGCATAGGGGATGCTGGAGCAATGAGGCAGGAGTGAGTGGATGGGTGGAGGAGCACCTTCATAGAGGCAAAGGGAAGTGGGGAGAGAGCAGATGGGATTGGGGTTTGTGGAGGGATAACTGGGAAGGGGATATCATTTGAAATGTAAATGAACAAAATGATTAATAAAAAAAAAGAAAGTAAGTGTCCAGTATGAGTGCATATGGTTTTTTTGTTTGTTTGTTTTTGTTTTTTGTTTTCTGGACTAGTCTTTGCAAAGAGAAAGACTGGCCAAGGTTTCAGATCTTTCTTCTACTGCTGTGCAGGCTTAGGTGTTTTATACTTAGGGTCTTGAGATGTCCCATTGCAAAGGGTTCAGGTCTAAAGCATTCTGGCTTCCAGAGCCCACATATGCATGGGTTCCTTTAAGTCTGTGTTTCCCTTTTTGTTCTCCTTCTCTTCTGTTTCTTTTAATTTCATAAGAATACTATGCTCTGGGTTTTAATAGTGAGTAGCAAGATACAAAGAAATATGTGTACATTGTTGGGTTCTGAAAACGATGTGGTTTCTGTATTTATTTGCTAAGCTCTTTAATCATTCCAAAAAGACAGAAAGTGAAACATGGAAGTTTTTATCTACGGGGTGAATCTTATTTCATTCCCAATCCATTATATTGCATATATAATATAAGGTATACATCTGACATACTGCTAGGTGAGTCTAAACATAGTTATTCTCTAATGCGATCACACAGAGGGTTTCAGAGCGTGGCTGTTGTCCTTTCCGGTCATGAAATATTTACTAGATGCCAGCTATGTGCAAGTTGCTTCACCAGGTGCTCTAGTGAGTGGGACTGAAAAGTAAGATACAATGACTGACACTGAGGTTGGGACGCACGCTCAAACTGTGAAGGAACAGTCTGTCCTCTGTGAGCTGCGAGGGATTAAGGGTTGGTCTAATCGTACAACATAGGCAGTGAAGTCTAAATCTGCTGTTCTCTCCTTCACAAACACTTTGTTCACTCTCCAAATCTCACTTTCACTGACTCGTCCTATAGGTTTACCGTGCGGTGTATAGTAAGTAGTATTCTATTACCCATTCATAAATACTTTGTTTGCTCTCTGGATCTCTCTTTTGCTGGTTCTTCCTATAGGTTCACTGTGCAGTTTATAGTAAGTGGTATTTTAATACCTAAATCATAATTATATCTTTCCTCTTGTTTTTAGGATTTAAACACAGTGGCTTAGAAAGTAGTTGCCTTACGTCATGAGATCTATCTCTGGGAGCCTCTACGTTGCTTTACTCTAGGTTTAGCATAACTTAAAGTTAGACTAGCTCTGTAGAGCATACCAAGTTAGGGTAGTCATTTGTTTGCAATGGTTTGTTTCTGCCTCTGTCTTCTCTGCTATGAACCATGGCTGCTTAATCATGGTGAACCTGTTGTTTCATGGCAAAATGAAATAGGAAATTACTTTTAAAAACTAATCATTCAAAGGACCGAAGTAGCTGTTAATAAACAACTTGTTGCAAGGCATGGTGGCATATCTCTGCAATCCTAGCTCTTGTGAGAGAGATGGAGAAGGACTACATCTTGTAGGCCAACATAAGCTACTTATAGCAAAACCGTATTTCAGGCAAGTAAGCAAAAACAAAAACTTGCCAACAAAACACCAAAGAAACAACTGCAGGTACTTAGTATCATGAGAAGTGTATCTTGTATAAGATAATTCTCTTAGTCCTGGGTTAGTCTCTGCTTCGGTGAGAACAGCATAGCTGAGTTATTCTTCTCTTTAGAGGAAAGGATTCATTTTGGCAAGAGATTTTTGAATCAAGGCAGGAAGGACATCATGATAGCAGTTCAGTGTGAAAGGAATTGGTCACCTCGTGTGTGTTAGGAGGCCAAAGGGGAGAGGAAAGGTCTCAGGTCCCAATGTCACCTTTCAGAGAATGCCCAGTCACCAGACTCCCTCCCACTAGCAACCACTTCTTAGAGGTTCTGCCCTCTCCTGTAGGACACAAGCTGGCACATAAGCCTTTAGCCTGTGTGCCTTTAGGGGACACTTACCGAGACCATAGAAGCCCCATATTCACCAGAACATACGCATGGAATCTGAATCAGTAGGAGACCCAGAGGTATTGCAAACCACAGTTCTGTTGTGTGTATCAGTGTCAGACATATTAGATAGGGAGATCTTGGCATGATTTGTTCAGAATGTGGAAATATCATTATGATGTTTTCCTGTCATTGTGGAATTATAATTTTTGTCAAAGAAATAAGTATTAGATCATTCTCATTTACAGTTTCAGTACAGCGTAAAGATAACTTTTCTAGTGACTAAAATCTGATGAGTTTGCTATCAGATATTTCTCTGATCCACACAAACATCAAATCCTGTAGGGAGTATACACTCAGTGCTGTTGGCTCTGTGGTGAGTGTGCATTCAGTCTTGTTAAACTCTAGGGAGAGCTCACTCAGTGATTTTAGACCATGAGAAGTATGTGTGTGATCATTGCTGTTAGACTCTGTGATGTGTACGTATTCAGTGCCCTGGGACTCTGTGATATGTATGCACTCACTGCCATTAGGTTAGCAAGCGCGCACTCAGTCCTGAAGGCGCTGGGGACTGTATACCCTTTTTATATTCTGGTGAATCAATATACACACAGTGCAGTTAGACTCTGGGAGTGTTCCCTCAGAGCTTTGGGGAGCACACACAGTGTTTTAGACTGTGTGGTGAATGACTGTGCATGCAGTGCTGATAGACTGTGTGGTGTGTACACAGTGCTGCTCGACTCTGGGGAGTGCACACTCGGTGTTCACATATTCTTGTGACTCAATTATTTGAGATTCTGTGATGGGTATGGACTCAGTGCAGTCAGGCATTGTTGTGTGTGTTCAGTGCTGTTAGAGTCTGGGCAGTGTGCACACTCAGTGTTTCCAGACTCTCCTGCATAGTGTGCACTCGGTGCTGTTACACTCTGGGAAGTGCATGCTCAAGCTAATCTATTCAGATTCTGTGTTCAGTGAGCGTGCACTCAGTGCTGTTAGACTCCACAATGAGTATATACTCAGTGCTCTCCGAGCAATCTCATGGTATCATTGTATTTCTTATTGCAGGTACATGTTGGGACTTGCAGCCATTCCAGCCGTTATACAGTTTCTTGGATTCCTCTTTTTGCCCGAAAGCCCTCGGTGGCTGATACAGAAAGGACAGACTCAGAAGGCTCGCCGAATTTTGTCCCAGATGCGTGGCAATCAGACTATTGATGAGGAGTATGACAGCATCAGGAACAGCATTGAGGAAGAGGAAAAGGAAGCCACCGCAGGTATGTGCACTTCTTGCTGTGTGAGATAGAGAACGATGTGGTGACTGTATTCAGAAATTAAATCATTAATCATTTTAGTATCCTTCAACATGACTTTAGGATGCAACCAAACAAAAATAAAGATATTTAACTTTAATATGATAGGGGATTGAGATAACGTTTTCCAAAAATAAAGGTTATCACTCTCAATTCACTCACTGTTTCCAAATTGGCATTTAAATTGTCTCAATTTTGATTTCATTCTTTTCTACCTGGCAGTTCATATGGGGACATGTGTTATTTATTTTATCCCTGAGAAAATGGCAGACACCCCTAGAAAGGTGTTGATTTTTGTCAAACATAGCTGTTGGCTGTCTTCAACTCCTTTTGCTGCTGGTTTCCATAGAGCTGAAGGCTACTTTTTTTCTACAACATTCAGTGTGTACTGGCAGCGGGGCGAGCACACTGTGACTTATCACTGTATGCGTGTGTGAAGCACAGCTGTCTACTGCTACAACTCTCTTGGTCAGACCAGAGACCCAAGTACTGAGGCATTTGTTTTTGATCACTTTGCAAACATCTATTGCATGTCTGGCAATGCTGGTGTCTCTAAAGAAACACCTTGGTGCAAAGCAAGGAGACTTTGCCTTCACAAAATTACGTCCTTCTCACTGCATTCATTGCTGTGTTCATCTTAAAAAGCACCATTTTAAGATATCTATTTAAATTGCAAATAGCTTCTTTTTATTTTCTCCAGTCTGAATTTTTCCCGGCAGTGCCTTAAATGAAATATCTGTTTCTTTGGTAATGATCAGTTCTCTTGAAACCTACGTTCTAATTATGTGTGATTGGAGTGGAAAACTCACAGTCTTAGGGCTATTGCAGGAAATGCTGTGGGGAATTTTGTCTTGATTAACTAAGAGAGACTTATCTAGAACCAAGATACCTGCATTTTTACTATAAACTATTAAGCACAAGTCTTTTAAAAAAAAATTTTAGTGCATTTTGTTGTTGTTGTTGTTTTAATACATGGCTTCACATATCCCACGATGGTTCAGAACTCATTATGTGCAGGGGTTGCCCTTGAACTTCCTCATTATGGTGCTGTTGAACTCTTAATCTTCCTGCACGTGCCTCTTGGGTAGTGGGAATGTAGGTGTGTGCCCCCACTGCCCAACTTGCCAACTTCATTTTGATTGCCTGCAAACATATTTCCTTGAGCCGTGCAGTTGCTGACAGTGGAACTAATTGGGTTTCATGACTGCTGAGAATTTCTAGCCAATTAGAGTCTGTGGAAGCTGGAGTCTCCTGTGAGTGGAGTTGCTTCTGTGTGCTTTTGTTTTTAATCACTGGATTTTAGGAGCCAAAGAGGACATCATCTGGGGGGGGGGGGTAGATATATTTTCTATTTCCCCTTGTTGCTTTAGATGTATATTTGGTCAGAAATTTTTTTTAAAATACTATAATATACTTGAGGCTTATTTCGTGTTTGAATTTTCTGAGCTTTGGAAGTAATGCAATTAGCCCATCTCTGGATGTGCGGTAGGTGACACACATCCTCTTGCTTAATTTAAAAGTTTAGCTTCTGTGATGAAGAAGTAGGCGGGCTGGATGTGGTGGTGATGTAAGTGGGGTGGATGTGGTGGTGATGTATGTAGTTCCACACTGCTGGGAAGGTTAAGACAAGAAGATTGTTGGACCCCGGAATTCAAGACCATTCTGGGTAACATGGAGACTCACCTCAAGGAAACAGAGAAAGATAATCAGTGTGAAGAGACAGATTGTCCCCATCTTCGTGCTCCTCAGAAGATATAGGCAGTGAAGCACCACAGCTATCTCTTGGCTATGTACAATATATATTTTCTGTATTAGCTACAGATCAAGGAAAAAGAACACGAGCAGAACAAACCTGTCTCCACACAAAAGCAGTGAGCACTGTAATATCGAAGCACGATTCAGTGTCGTCACTGTACTTGGGAAGTGGTGACCAGGGCAGTGACTTAGCAAACCTTGGGCTTGGCCCCCTGTCTCTTCACATTCGAGAATAAAAGACTGGATGCACAGAAGAAATAGCATCTAACTTGAAAGTAATCAAACTGCCCTGACTCAACAGTGTGTTATGACATGGCCCATTCATCTGTCCATGGAACCTGGGGAGGGAAGTGTGAATTGTGGCTTTAAGCTTAGAAGCCATGGTCATAGAGTACAGCCTGCTGAAAGATGAACCTTGGACAATGCCCCGAACAAATCAGATGTTCCAGAATAGGAAGATGATGAGATACCTTAATTTTTGTAAAGAGGAATGTTTCTTTGGACGTGGAAGCTTAGTTTGCGTGGTACCTGGTAGCTCAATTATAATAGGTTTATAATTATATAGGTTTGATTCCAGACTACTTTTTTTTTCGTGGTTGCTTGAATTTAACCTTAACCTTAGGCTGAGCTAATATCACAATAAAAGAGCATTACCTAGCACACAGAAGACGCTGGTTTGTATCTCCAATATTCAGCCCCACCAAAAGAATAAACAAACAAACAAAAACAAAACAAAAACGACTTCTCCAAATCAAAAGTGTAACTTATTTGAGAAAAGAGTGCAGAGGTATTGTTCAGCATACCCACTCATTTGTGACTTTGTGGCAGGACGATACCAGGTAGCATTTCCTCTGGATAAAACACAGTGATACAGAATTGGCCAGCATTGTGTCTGTGACACATTTGAGCTTTCAAGACACTGTGGAACAGGACTGGATTATAGCAGAATCTCCTCTCTCCTCCACATGATGAAACAGGTCAACTTCCTTCCCTGGGTTCACTGAAGAGGAAATCTCTTGTGTATGGTATGAATGTGCCACCTGTCAGTCAAAGCTGATTGACCTATAGCTGAAGCAGGAAATAGAAGGAGGGACATCCGGTAGATCTGGGATAGAGCCAGGAGAGGGAAGATTGGGCCTCCAAGAACTGGAAGGAGGACATGCATTATGGAACCTGAGCAGAGGTAACTGCCATGTGGCAGAACTTAGATCAGAGTAAATAGGATATTAATTTATGAGATAGATATCTGGGGAATAGCCAAGGGAATACTTTCTGTTTATTTGAAAAGATGCTATGAAACTAATGTTCATTCAGAAGGTTTTACTAAGTTTATGGCAGGGGAGGTGCAGGTGTGTCAGTAGACAAAACAGACAAAACTGTTGTCTGTTTTTGAGTCAAGTGATAAATAAAAGGATGACTGCTGGTTAATGACAAATTATGTAACTGTCTAAGGGAGATGTGTACTCTACTAAAATAGTAATAGAGGCACTGTAAGGACATTAGGTCAGATGGTTGGGACAAGCCTCTGAAGGTGTGCATTTGGAGAAGAGAGGGCTCTGAGCATCTGCAGCATTAAATGAACCAGATTAATGGTAGTTCCAAAGTAGAGCTGAGTTTTCAGACTCTCAGGGAGGGTCTGACTGTGCCTCTATCCCAGATTGCTTTGCATCAGCTCTGACTTAGTAGAGATATGATAATGCTTTCAGAGTCCAAAGCAAATCTGAATACACATCAATTGTCAGGAATTACATCATCATTTCTGCTGCATGTCTCTTATGCTTTGTTTTCCTAGTTTATTTCGTTTGCACAGATATGTACTAAGTCTTAAGAGAGGCTAAGTCAGTTGTATCAAGTAGTGTGTTCACTTAGCTTCAAAGTTACAGAGAGGTGGGCACGTAGGGCCTGGCTATTACATTGAAAGGGGCAACAATTCAAATTTTATTTGAATTTTTGTCTACTTGATTTCAGAGGTTAACAGAAGTTTTCACTCTACTCTGCAATATAACTTTTTATGTGATGGTTCAAATTCATCCTTCTAAACACCAATCATACCTTTTAGACAGCTTTGAGTGCTTCCAGACCTGTCTGTGCATCCCAGACATGGCTTGAAGCGTTTCAGCTTCTTGTTTGGGCAAATGTGTTCATGGGATATTGGAAATAAAGTGTGACCTTATCATTAGCCATGAGTGGAGTGCGTGGGGCTTCAGTTTACAAACTAATACCTTTGTCTCATAACAAGGAAAACAAAAGCAGCCAATAGAGAGAGGATTCCTTGGAAGGCAAACTTTTTTTTTTTTTTTTGGTTTTTCGAGACAGAGTTTCTCTGTGTAGCCCTGGCTGTCCTGAACTCACTCTGTAGACCAGGCTGGCCTCGAACTCAGAAATCCGCCTGCCTCTGCCTCCCAAGTGCTGGGATTAAAGGCGTGCGCCACCACCGCCCGGCTTGGAAGGCAAACTTTTTAAAAATCATATTCACTTCTGTATGTATTTACTTAGTGTGTGCATGCATGTGAGTATGTGTGTGCTATGGTGTGTGTGCCTGTGCATGTGTGTGTGTGTGTGTGTGTGTGTGTGTGTGAGAGAGAGAGAGAGAGAGAGAGAGAGAGAGAGAGAGAGAGAGAGACAGAGAGAGACAGAGAGACAGAGAGACAGAGAGAGAGACAGAAAGAGAGACAGAGAGAGAGAGACAAAGAGACAGAGACAGAGGAGAGAAAGGGGGAGGGGGAGGGGGAGACAAGTAAGAATCCCTTCTCCTTTTCTACCATGTTTGTCCCAGGGATCAAATGCCCAAGTGGCCAAGCCTAATGGCAAGTGACGTGCTTTCACCTGGAGGATCATCTTGGCAATCTAGAAGGCAGTCTATGGAAGACTCTTGAGCGCTGACACTGTCTGTCAACTTGTCTGATGGGCTCAGGTGCCTTTCTAAATTGCATCTCCATGTCTTTCCCCAGAGGATGAAACATGTATCCCTGGGAGATAGAGAAAGGAACACAGAGGCGGCCAGTGCCATTTTGTGACCACTGCCACCTCTGTGCTCTTCTGCAGGAGCTACTGGTGCTCATAGAGGGTCTCACAGGAAGGCCTGTCTCTCCACTGACTTGTCCAGAGGCTGAGACAGTGAGTATCAAGGTGGGATCAGAGGTAGAATAAGGGATATGTCTTAGGAAAGGTTTCCTTTTCTGCTGGAACCTACACATTGTGAGGGGTAC